TCCGATATTCAGTTTTAAGGCCGATACCGATAGGGGGCTGATTATATCGTGCATCCCTAGTCCAATATACTGTTAAATACATTAACGGCATTTGGCATAATGTATTGAATGGAAGCAGTTCATACAAAAAGAGCGATATCGTCAGCATAGCGTGTTATTTGTTATTTCCATGGAAAAGTTTGCAACTTGCAGGAGCAACAATGTTCCTGTAACTTGTTCCTATAAGTGGGTCAGTTTTTCTTAAAATAAGTTTTGCAGCGTAAACTAAACATGCTTGATGTACCTCCAACCAGTGGCATCTAGAATGTGGCATAAAAAAACCCCACCAAAACATTTTTAATTGTTTTTTTTTTTTTAACTACTTTAGTTTTAAATTGTTGTATTGACCAAAAACCAAAATCCCTGCTCTTTAAAAAGCATCCGACAGGTGGACTTTTGATAGGCGATGCTTCTTGGTACGTCCAACTTTAGTTCAAAGAATTAAAACTGCAGGATTGGAAAAATAGAAGAAATCTACATTCTGGAAAAACTGACACTATGAGGCTTCAGCAAACTCAGATGGAAGAAAAGTGGATGAAATAGAAAACATTAAAAACAAAAGACAGCGACAAAAAATAAAGAACTAAATGATCTAGATGGGACAAATGTGAGGTAGAGAAATAGCTCCAAAGCAAAGGTTTTATTTCATGTTGAATGCGAAGTGTTCATGTATATTTTGTATGTAAACAAATATGAAAAATACTAATAAACATTTAAATGTAAAAAAACAAAAAAACTGCAGCTTTCTTCTGCAGGTAATTAAAATATTAGAGAAAGAAACGTCCAGGTTTGAGCTCATAGCTGCAGAGTTAGGATTGTTTCTGTGTCAAAGCGCCGATCAGGCTACACCACATCTAGAGCAGAGAGAGAATGACAGCTGTCCTTGTTTATTATTACATAAACATGATGAAACAGCCTGCATGCTCATCTGTTGACACCTTAAAGACAGACCTGTTGGGTCCCGACCAATGAGGCATTTTGTTTACGGTATAATGAACCGCGCTAACATGGTACTAGTTTATCAGTAGGACTCGGCGCGTTAAGTACATAGTTAAGTAGTTAAGTTCTGGCTAAGTTCTCGGATAACAAAGATTGATTGTGCGGACCGCGTCATCTCCTTAAGGCTAATTTATACTTCGCAACCAGCTCGTCTGCGCAGGTGTCGCAGTGAACTCAAAGACGTCCCCGCCCCCTCCGCAGACAATGTGCCGCAGACAGGAGGCCGGCTTGATTTGTTTCTATG